TATATATATATATATATATATATATATATATATATATATATATATATACACACACACACACACACACACACACACACACACACATTTCCTATCTTCCTGCATATTAAAAGTAATTATACCTTTATTTTCTTACATAAATGTACCAAATGCCCCCCCATAGTTTATTGTAAGCCTGAAGGAACTTCTTTCACATAAACCTCACTAAAGAAATAATAGGGAAAAAAAAACAGAAAGCAGAGAACAAGGGCAATACAAAGAAAATCAAGGATAAGGATTCAACTGAAACTTGATCAAGAGTTCTGTGTGGAGGAATTGTTTCCATTCGGTTTTATTTAAAAATTAATTATGTCAAGAATTAAGTGTTTTTATATACTGAAGTGTCATTGGTAGTTATTAAATGCTATTATTTATTAAAACCCTAATAGAATTCGATGTTAAATTAAGTATCGACATCCAATAAATTAAATTTAAATAATTAAGTCTAATATTAATGGTTAGGAATTTCAGGAGAGGCAGAAGTCCACTGTGAAACCCACTTTTTATAAAAAGTTGTACATATGTATAATAAATATTTTAAAAGACTATGATTTTCCAGGTCACCATTTTAGACCACGGCTAACATCTACTTTCCTTAGAAACTGGTTTGTGCTTCCCAGACGCCATTACAACAAGTGAAAGTTATAGAGGACCATTAATGACTATGCACATCAGTTTATTCAAAAGCCTTTACTGGCCAGTGGTCTGCCCCAGGCACAATGATGAAAGAAGACCAAAACACACCCTGCCCTTCAGGATACCACAGCAGGGAGAGAGTCAGGGATTGGAAACACCTGTCTGAGGGCAGCACCATACATCAAGGGGGAAATGTGTACAAGGCATGAGTCAGGAGGCTTGGAAGATTCTCATAGACACAGTGACCTAGGAGGGCTCCAGGCAGAAGCACTCAGTGTGTGCCAAGGAGAAAAGCAGCATGATATGTTGGAGGTAGACCTATCACCTCAGGATGACTGGGAGAGGTGGCGGGAAGTGAATTGTAGAGCAAGAAAAGAAATGGGATCGGGATTAAATTCATCTTCTCTTCTCTCCACATGACCTTAGCTGAATGATCTGACCTCAAGAAGTCTTGGTCTCCTCGTCTATGAAGTTTCTTTCTAAAGTTATTATAAAAATGGAATGAGATAAAATAGTTGAAGATTATGGACAAGGACCTGGCCCCCAGCACTCAATATAGACCAGGTGTTCGTGGAGCTTGGCACAGTAAAGTAAGGAAGGGGGATCACAGACTTGTGATCTTACAGGACTCCTCAAATCCACTACCATAGAAATGTCTATAAACTGGGAGCACAGCAAAGAGAAGTCTGAGAGGGGGTGTGCCTTATGTGAGTGAGTAGGAGAGAGAAAGAGACCTAGACCTAGATTTGGGACTGCTAGTGTTTTTCCTCCACTCCTTGGAAATCCACTGTAGTTTGGCAAATGAACCTTCCTATATGAGTGGTTTCTGCTGTAGTGAAATACAAATGCTCTTAATAAAAGTCCTTATGCTAGTCCAGTTGAATATCTTCCTGGTTTTTGATAGGACAGGCACCTTGAATTCAAATCTCACTGTACTCAAAAACATAACAACATAATAAATTGTTTGCCCAGAATCACTGGGGATTGACAGGTACAAATTAAGACTGATTCAGATATACTATGTTGGCAAAAAAAAAAAAAAAAGTACCATGAGCAATGAGACAGCATGTGATGTGACTTTTCAACATGGTGAATGACACTTGGCAAAGTTCCAAAAAGAGCACAGTACAGTGCTCCTTTGATTCACCAGGGACTTATGTTCCGGGAGAATGCAGTTTTTATTAAAACTGTGCAATGCATGCTTTGTGTTCCTATGTGACATGAGTTAGGTGTTGGGCTCAGACAGTTATAACCAGGTTTGCACCTACATGAAAGTCTGGCGGTGCATTCAAACCTCATGCTGGAGGCAGAATCATTCTTTGTTAGTGGGTTCAACCAGGCATAGCAGGACATCTAGCATCTTTGGTCTCATCCACCCCATGTCAGAGCTGTCCTCCCAACAGTGACCAAGCATAATGCCCCCAGCATTTCCAAACTTCCCCAGGGGGGCAATACCTTTCCTGCCGAGAACCACTGGTCTGCCTGACCCACTCTGCTCCTCCCTTCCCTTCTCCATTTGTACAGTCCCCTTTCCCTCCACAGGTGCTTCCCAGGCTCTTTCCCTCCTGGTGCTCCAGGAGGGACCTGAACTTTGTTCAGCCCAGGCCCTTGGAAAGCAGAGCCTGTTTACAGAGCAGGAATGTCTCTTGATCACCTTAGTACCCCTCAGGAATCATGCAATTGGAAACTGAGTAAATGTTCAACAAGGCTGAGAAATCCATGACTTTAAAAAATAAAATAAAATAAAAAGAACAACTCTGAGAGGATGTAGATTGAAGATATTGTCATCCATAAAAATGGGATCTTTTCTGAAATATCTACTTCACCCTGAAGATAATATGAGAAAATGGACTTTGGGTAATCTCCTTTTTCTTCTTTATAACTTCATGTGTTTCTGCACAGACTCTAGTCTTTTATTCAATTGTTCAATACCAATTGTGTGCCAGGCTCTAAGCTATACTTTCCTTTGACAAATTCACAATGTATCATGGGAAACAGCAAAGTACAAAACTTGGTATATTTAAATGTGACATTATGCCTCCCTGGTGGTACCAAGGGAAGGAGCAATTAATTCTGACTAGGGTATTTTCAGAAGATGGGATCCATACCTTCCACATATTATGATGCAGAGGTTCCTGTTTTCAGGCTCTCATAAAAAGGCAATAATAAAGAAATATGTGATAAGTCTTTCAAAATAACCGAAGGCAAGCATTTCCTCAAATGTTTACCGTTACAGGTGTAATTTCTGTTGACAGTGGAGTGACTCAGAACATTTCCTGCAGACCTGAGATCAACGGCTAAAATTGACCTTGCAAATGAGATAGCACTATCTTAGTTCTCTTCTCAAATAGGTGATTTGAAATTAATATCATTGTTTGGCACTTGTGCCCTGAGAAAATTTACCAGTAAAACCTCAATTCAAATAGTACATAAACTAGATTTTAAATATATCTGTTCTTTAAGGGTGGGCTGTGAAGATGGTGGTAAAAATCTTAGAACCTAAATTCGTTTGACATGTCCATTACTTAAGAATGACAACATGGGCTGGAGTTGTGGCTCAGTAGTTGAGCACTTGCCTAGAATATGTGAGGCCCTGGGTTCAATTCTCAGCAAAATAAATAAATAAATAAATAAATAAATAAAATAAAGGTCCATCAATATCTAAAAAATATTTTTTAAAAATAATGTCAACATATCTGTCTCTCCCTTCTCTGTCCCAGAGTATTCCATGGCTTCTGGCATGACCGAGTCATGTCACGAACATTTGTTGAAGGAATTCATGCACATATACATAAATGAAATGATCTGTTTCCATTTGTTTTGAGCTTCAGATTTTTATTAAAATGAGGAAGCTTTAAGAAAGCAGAAAATATTAAAGAGAGGTTTGCTCTTCCCATCCTAAAGTGAATGCTGTCTTTGAGACACCGAGGACTCAAGGTCAGGGAACACTGTGACCTCCCAAACCTAGCACAAAGGTGGCCTTTTCTTCTATTTCTCTTTTTTCCTTCTCTTCACTGGTTTTATGAGCTAGTGCCAGCTGAGTATAGATGGTGCACGCTTTGCACTTGAATGAAACACTCCCTGCCCTCAGTTCTGGGAGCTCCACTCTGCTGCCTCCATCTGCTGCTTCTGATAAATGCTCATATTTTAAATATATTACGATAAGCACACTCCCAATGTGACTTGCCGGCCCTATCCAACAAACAACCCCCCTGGCACAGAGCCACTGCTTGGATGGAAAGAGTTTGGGCAGAGAGAAGACTCAGTTCCCAGTGAGGACAGATAAGAGGGAAGAGGGAGGAAATTGCCTGGATAAGCGACTGTAGGCAAAGACCCTGGCTGTTTCCTGCGAGTATATGGAAGCTCTCTGGATGTACACAGGCTCAGGGAATCTCTGAAGAGGGTGACATGTCTGAAGCAAGGAGCAGAAGTAAAGCATAAGTAGCTTCGCTTTTCTTTGAAAAATGAGTTGAACATTCTTGGTCGACTGACAACCCTCCATTATGAATAACCTCCAGGAAACTAAGATACGCAGGAATTTGCCTCTAGCCCTCGAAGCCTCCTAGGGCACATATACCATTTACGCCACTCTTCCAAGTGCCCCTGCTGCTTTCAGCTGGCAGTTGCTTCTTCCCTCACAGTGTTTCTTCCTTCGAGCAACTGATCTCTAGCCAGCATAGTCACCAACTGCATTGGGAAAGATGGAGTAATGTGGTGTGGAAGGTCTCCGTAAAGAATGTGGTCACAGCAGAAGCTGCCTGGGGTAGATGTTATTGGCTCTCAGTTGTGGGATCATAGATTATTAGAGCTGGTAGGGAAGTTAGGGAACATCTAATCCAATTTTCTTTATCCTAAAGGCATCTTAAATTCTCCCATTCCAGCCTGATCCCCTTCTCCTTGCCCGTCTTCCTTCTTGCTTGTCCTCATTTCCATAGCAGCTAAGTGCATTTCTCTAGTCACTCAGGGTCAAAGTGGAGTTATACTTGACTCTGTGGTTTCTCATACCCCACATTTGGTCTGACAGTAAATCTTACCCACACTTTCTTCAAAACACAGCCAGTCACATTCATTCTTGTCACCTTCATTGTTAAATCTCGTCCAAGCCAACTTTGTCTCTCCTCTGGATCATTGCAGTGGTTTGAGAGCCAATGTGGGCCAAGCCTGACTGGCCACCTGTTTGGGTAAATGAAATTTTATTGGAACACAGCCACGCTCATGGGTTGACCTTGCCTGTGGCTGCTTTGGTACTACAGGAGAATAGTCAGGATGTTGCAGCAGAGCACTCTGAGCCTGAACAAAACATTTACCAACTCCAGTTCTTTACAGAAAAAAAAAAAATTTGTCAACCTGTAACAGAGCCTATTGTAAGCTGGATGACATCATCGCCCTGCTCAAAACCCTCTCCCTCAAGGTGAAAGTTAAAGTCTATAAGGTCCCTGTATGAACCCCGTATGGCTTCTCTGATCTCACTATCTGCTCTTCTCTCCCTTATTCACTCTGATGCAGTCACATGGACCACACACCAACTCCTGATCTTCTCAAATAAACCAGGCCTGCCCCTGAAGCAGGGCCTTGCGTTTTCTGTCCTCTGTGCCTGAAAGAACCTCTGCATTGACATCTGTCTGCCTTGCTCACTCTTCACTCACTGATTACTGCCACCTTCTAGGGAACCTTTGCTGACCATGATTTACTTATTTATTCATTTGGCACTAGGTATTGAACCCAGAGGTGTTTTACCACTAAGCTACATCCCCAGCCCCTTTTTTTTACTTTTTATTTTGAGACAAAGTCTCCCTAAATCACCTAGACTGCCCTCAATTTGTGAGCCTCCTGCCTCTGCCTCTCAAGTTGCTAGGGTTATAGGCCTGCGCCACTGTACTCAGATTCTGACCACTTTATTTCAAATGGCAGCCTCTGGTTGCTTTATTTTTCTCCATAGCATCTATCACCATTGAACATACTACATTCTCATCTTTTTGTGTCTTTTGCATCTTTCCCTCTCACTAAAATACAAGCTCCACAAAAGCAGAGGTTTTGCCAGGTTTATTTTCCTGATACGCCTGCAGTGCCTGGGCATTTCCTAGATGTTTCATAAATGAACAAGTTTCAGGAAGCAGTGGTGCCACAGCACAGGTGGAACACATCCAGGTCTTACAGCAGTTCCTGCAAACAGGTCTCTCAGAGAGTCAAAAGGAACTCCAGGCATTAACTACCTGCGGACTTGTGAAGGCATTTTATTTTCCATCTCTCCTCTTCCCTTTTTTCGTCTTACTTCTTACCTTGTAACCAGTGGCTCACGCCACGCCTTGAGTCTGTAGCTATAGTTTCTATAGTATTTCAAAACTTATCCTTCCCTCTTCCACCTGTCATTATTAAAACATATCTCCCTGGTTCTATTACCCAAAGACCCTGGCACATTCTCTTCTAAGCTGATAAACTCATTAAAGCCCAGATATTAATGAATAATAATGTCTCTACCTCCTGGAAAATAATTTGCATTTAAACAACTTTTAGTGCCTGAATGCAAAGAAGTAAGTGATGCGGGAATCCCCAGCAGACTCGAGGTCTGGGCAGCTGGAGTAGCCATGGAGAGGTCCCTGAAGGAAAATCAAATCACAGCCCATGGGTAGCTGTCCATTCTGCCTTTACGGGGTGAGTCCAGCCATGTATATCCCCTCAGAGCATGCATGCACACAGCGAGGCAGGGTGCCAATTAAAGGCACTGAGAACATCTTAACTTGCATAGAAATAAGCCTGTCATTTGTGATATATGTATGCACTTACATATATTACTATCGATTCCTTCCCTTAGTGCTTTGATAGCTTTTCATCTAGCTTACAGTCCCGCTGGCTCAAAGCACTTCTTGGGGAAGAAAAAGGAAGCCAAACAGGCATAAGTCTCAACCCTCAAAGAGGAAAGACTGGTTGGGTCGGGGAGCAGATGATTGGAGTACCCATCGTAAGTGTACTCCTTTCTGGGACCATAACACAGTTCAGAATACCATGAGCATTCTGAAAGTGGCGAGGAGGAAAATATTGAGAAGTGCAACTTTTTCACTAAAAAGAGGACAAAAAAATAATAATAATTCCTGAGTCACAGGCTGTGCTGTGCAAGGAAACCAGTGGACTTCATCAAGCAATCCAGTGCCCTCAGACAAAATTAAGAGAATCACCCAAACAAGTGAAAAACAGGAATTTAGCCATTAGCAAGTCTGACAGATTTATCAACAGCACCCCTGTTCCATCTCCAGAGGAGGCAGCTGCACTCATGCATGCCTGTGTACCGAATGTTGCTGACCTTTTCAGGACAGAACAGGTTAGGCTGAGCACTTTGCCTAGTTTATCAAAACCCACTGCAGGAGGTCTAGACCCTGTGGTTGTCAAAACTGAACAAAATTTCTTTTGAATTATGATAGAGTACGACTTCTCTCTCCCCTAGTCTACACATGGCCACAGAGGCCCCTCTGAATTTGTCACCTGGTGGAACAGGTATTGATCCACCATTCCTCTAGGGGATCCCTGGTTTTGTTTACTTCATTCTCTGGACAGAGACACTATTGTGTAACCATGTGGAAACTTTCTACATTTTATCAAAATGACATCTAATAAATTGAAACTTGCAAGAGATGAGCTCACCTTTCAGATATTAAGGGTTTTTGTTATTGTGGTTGTTGTTACTTTCTTGTGGTGCTGAGGATTTCACCCAGATACTAAGTATCTTGATGGACATACAAAATAGACATTTCATAAACTACAGTGAAACCACTGCTCAAACTGTTTCTAAACTCATGTAGAGCCAAAGAATTCAAGGCCATGAGGAAGTGCATGTTGGCCTCTGTCAGAAAGAGGTGCAATATGTGGTCTTTTATCATGAGATGCTGGAGATGCTGCTGTCCACACAAAGGACTTCACTAATAGCTGTCATGCCTGTGTCTCCTGGGTGCTGCCACCACCCAAATGGCACTTGTGACTTGCAACTAATACAAAGCACCCAGTAGGCCAGGAGATAACTGGGATTTCAAGATATTCTGCACCTTACTACAAGTGGATATCTCTTGCTAAAGCAAAGAAGATAGGGGAGCTAATGATATTTTACCAGGATGGATGCCCTTGAAGGCAGGCTACCTACCTCCTGAGGTCAGACCACAAGCCAGCAGCAGTCACACTTCAGTATAAGAATCACCTGGATGACTCATCAACACAGAGACTGCCAGACCAAAACCCAAGAGTCTGTTTAGGAATTGGTGCCAGGGTCCATGAATGCACATTTCTAATAAGTTCCCAGGTGCTATAGTTGCTGTGGAGCCAGGTACCAGTCCTTGAAAACCACCCTCTGGGCTTAGGGTGTGTCAAACTGCTTTCTTCCCTCCTACCCTTCTGTTTCAGGGAACGGTGGGAGAGGAAGGAAGGTGGGAGTGGCAGCTTCTGCAGCAACAGTCATCCTCTGTGGTATCAAGACCCAGCTGCCATTCAAGAGAAGTAAGTGAGGTTAAAGGGATGAGGAACCAGGCAACCTTTCTCCCAATTCCAAATATATAGTTCAGTCTCATGTGGCAGTGTGATGCCAGCTTGTCCACTTCGCTTTCAAAGTCCAGTTGCTGAGAGTTTGCCTGCATAGCCCACAACCCAGCCATCAGACAAGAGGTAAAGTCAACTGCAGATGTACACAGAGAACCTGCGGAACATCAATGAACGAGCTTCACAAGGCACAGTCTCTCCAGCTGCTTTGCACAAGTGACCATAGCAGGCCAGGGAAGGGGACGCTAGAGAGACCTGGTGGAGACAGAGAACAAAGTCTTCTCAGCGCACGTTCTTGGCTGCTGCTGGTAGGGCCTCATCTGAAACGGGAGGTGAGGCTGCCAGTCCCAAATGCAGACAGTTGTGCTGCAGCTAACTTCAAAGAACACCCATGCCTCTTTACCCTAGAAAACTTGCCCCTCTAAGGACACAAAAAGCAGCCTTTAAAGTTCTATTTTTTCGACACCTAGGCCCAAAGAGGAGCAATAGTCAGGTAAAATGCTGGGACTGAGAACACCGGAGACTGCGGAGTGGTTTTGGTCAACTTGAGGCGGCTGCTGTGGCTGCTGGGAATGTCTCTGAAGAGCTGGATTGTGGTTACATACTGTGCCTGGTGTCCTCAGGAGAGATGACACGTTCATTTTTTTTCTCGATACATTTCCTCTGCAGGTCATCTGGGGCTCTCTTCATCCTCACTCCAGGACCCAGACTGAGAGAACAGCTACTCTCTGGGCTTTGCTCACTGTGGTGGCAGAGGGAAACGAAGAGTGACAAACTGCATGGAAAGCTTTTGTCTAGAAGTAACATATCACTGACTATCATGAGTTGAATAGTATCCCCCAAATTCCTGTCCACCCAGAACATCACAATGTGATTTTACCGGGAAATAGGGTCTTAACAGGGAGTTACGGATCTCGAGATGATATCATACCTAAATCCAGTGACTGGTGTGCCTCTATGAAGAAGAGAGGACATAGAGACAGACAGGCTGACCCTGTGCAGACAGAGGAAGACTGGAGTGAGGCAGATCAAGTTGGGAGCACCAAGCTTGCCAGCATCCAGCAGAGGTGAGACAGAAGGCAGGGAGGATTCTTTCCAAGTCCTCAGAGGAAACATGGCCCTGTTGACACCTCCAGCCTCTGCAACTGTGAGAGAATAATCTTCTCCTGGTTTAAGCCTCTCACTTATGGTAATTTGTTTAGGCAGCTTTACACATGGATCAAAGCAAGACACATTGTCACATGCAGTCTCTAATGGTGTAGGACAGTACTGCAGGGCTGGATGGTCTCCTTCAGATCTGCTCTCCATCCTCCCATCTCTGCTCTGGGCCTACAAAGCTAATCTTCAAGAACTGCATAAACATATCCCTTTTCCCTGTGGCTTCTGGTTGAAATTAGCCAGTGATAGGAGTTGAGGGAGGGGTGGAGAGTGAAGTCCATGTTCCTACCTGGCCACCTTCCTCCTGACAAGCCAGTAGTGACTGTGTCCTGCTCTGGAGGCTGTGGCTCCTGCTAGGCAGCTCCTCCTGCAGTTTCTTCTGTTCCTCAGGCTTTTGGCAAATGTCTTTCCTGTGCCACTCCACATTGAATGTGCAACAGCTGTTGCAGCTAAGGTGCTTCGTTATTCCTTGTTGGTTTCCCATGACCCCACCCACAACCCTGTCAGCAGTCCCTTTTTCAATCTCTCCTCAGTAACTTCACTGGAGCGTGCGATCTGATGTCTGCTGGACCCAGCCAACACACAAATCATGCACGTAGGAGAAGATCAGATCTGTGGGTGACAGTGGTGTCCTGTCTCAACTGAGAAGCAGCACTAGCACAACAGTGGGAATGCAGCCAGAGCAGCAGATCACAGGATTGCTTGCTTCCCCTCTTCCTTGTCTCTTGAAGAGGAGAAGCATGTGCTCTGGAGCAAAGTTCAAACCCCAGCTCCACCATTTTTTTTTCTTGTGATATAAACCTCCCTGAATCTCAGTTTGTTCTCATATAATATGGATATAAAAGTGCTTTCCTCATCATGCTGTTGTGAGGATTACAGGGGATAAATATGAAAAGCAACTAACTGTGGTAGGCACAATAATGTCCCCCGAAGATTTCCAAGACCTAATCCCCAGGAACATGAGAGGATGTTTGTACATGGCAAAAGAGACTGTGTGTATGTAATTATGATCACAGACCTTACAAGAGGGAGATTATCCCGGATGACCAAGTGGGCCCCATCCAATCACTTGAGCACTTAAGAGGAGAAGAAGGCAGAGGAGTTGGTCCCAGTGGTTAGAGACATGACAGAAGAGGGGAGGCAGAGACGACCTGACATCCTCAGGATTTATTGTGCCACTGCAAGTTTGAGATGTTCTGAGACTACACACAATGACCAAAAGGCCTCTAGATGCTAAGGGAGAAACCTCCACCCCTACCCCAAGACAGTAGCCAGCAAGGAAAAGGAGATCTCAGCCCCCCAAACACTGAGTTCTGCCAACCACCTGGATGAACTGGAAGTGGAGTCTCCCTTGGGGTCTCTAGAAGGGAGAGAAGCCCAGCCAATACCTTGACTTCAGCCTCTGAGACAACAGAGAAACCAGTTGAGCCCACTGGATTCTGACCTATGGAACTGTGAGATAATAAGTGCATATTGTTTTAAGCCTCTGCATTTGTAGTAATATGTACAGCATCAATGGAAGATAAACCAAGATGCACAGTGAGGTTCTGGTGCACAGCATATACCCACCACATGTATGGTATACCCTTAAGGAGGAGAGTTACACAAGATACACAGGGGCCTTCCCAGGATCCCAAATATTACATGCTCTCAAAGAAATGTGCCCACTGTGATTTTACAACTAGATTCTAGGCTAGCTTTCTCCAGTGCTTTCAAGCTGCCCTGAATATGGGCTCCCTACATGAGCAGCCCCAGCAGTATCAGCAGGGGGGAGAGCAGGAAACACATTCATCTCCCAGGCCAAGGCAAAAGCATCCTGTTACTCATCAGACACGTGGAGAGAAATTCATGGCAGATCAGCTTGCCACCTTCATAGCAGGATCTCCCTTACCTAGGTCCTCAGTCCTATCACCCTCCATACCCAGAACCAGTTTCTGCTTCTAATATTTGCCCCTAATTGAAGCACAGGCTGGGAAGATCATTTCCCACAGCTGGGAGCCTCCCTTTCATTTCCCTAGGCCAAATCCAACTCTACAACCCCACTTCAGAATCTTCCTGATGCCTGACCATCCAAACCCAGTTCCTGCCCCAAGCACAGGCCCTCATTGCTCCACCACTTTATTTGGTGACTGGGGCTCCTATCCTTCTACAATTGGGTTAACATGAAATAACCCCAGAACACTGGGCTCTGAGCCAGATGTCACAGACGGGGTCCCTTAGTGTTCACTCATAAATACGCAGAAAAGCAATTGAGTAAAGGGCTCCCCGACTCCCAGGCACAGATATATGTGTGCCTACTTGAACCAGAATCATTCATACTTCCCAACTCGACATGCACCTTCAATGCTACTGACCAGCAACTGGGGATTCTTTTGGTCACAATTTTCACTGCCATTCAAAAAATACTCTTCTAAGATGATTATAATATTAAGGGCTAAGATTTATTGTGTGTTTACTGGATGTCAGGTACTGCTCTACCCTGTAAATGTGTGAACTCAAAGTTTTAAGGCAACGTAAAGGGTTAATTTCTACTATTGTTATCATTTCTGCTTTACAAAAGAGGAAATGAGAACTCAGAACATTCAACAACTTGTCCAAAATTAACAGGTAGTAAGTGACTTGAGCTGTAATTCAAACTGAGGCTGGAGTGACTCTGCACTACAACCCAGGCTGTGATTTCTCTTGATTGTTTAGACACTTAGTCCTACACCAGCACTGTGTTACTCCTTGGAGGTTCTGAAGGTTAATTTTAGCTGCTGATGTGATTGGATTAAAGGATGCCTAGAAAGCTGGTTCTTATTTCTGGGTGTGTCTGTGAAGATTTTTTCAGAGGAGTTTGACATGTGAGTCCGGGGACTAAATGGGCATCATCCTACCAACTGGGAGCCCAGGTACAGGAAAATGTAGAGGAAAGCTAAAATCAATCAATCTCTTTCCTCCTCCTCCCCTCTCTTGGGAGCTGGGACATACTTCTCCTGCATCTGAACTCCAGATTGTTTGGCCTTTGGCTCATGGGAACCCCTAGGTTCTCAGGTCTTTAGTCTCCAACTGGGAGTTGCATGACTGGCTTCTCAGACCTTCAGACAGCCATGCTAACAGCTTGCCGGTTCCTCCTGCTGGCATATGGCTTACAATGATATTTCTCAGCCTCCATGATCACTTGAATCAATTCCCCTAATAAATCCCATCTCATCTATCTATACCATTCTTTTTTCCCTATCTATCCATCTGTCTATCATTGGCCTTATATATCTAAGGGTTTCATATTCACAGATTCAACCAACCTTGGATGGAAAATATTCAGAAGAAATTGTGTCTATACTGAACATGTACAGACTTATTTCCTGTCACTAAACAAAAAAGTATAACAACTTTTTACCTTGCTACTTACATTGTATTAGGCATTATAATCAATCTAAAGATGATCTAAAGTACATATGAAGATGTATATAAGTTACAAGCAAACACTACACTATTTTGTATACGGAACTTGAGCATTCACAGATTTTGGTATCCACAGGAGTCCTGGAACCAACCTTGTACAAATATATCTACAGATATTTACCGATATCTATATAGATCTGTAGATATATTCTATCTGTTCCATCTCTGTAGAGTATTCTAACCAATACAGAAATACAAATACATCCAGGACAAATTTCATTTTTTCTTAGCTAATGTGATATAAGAGGCAGATATGTAGAAACAAATATCTATTGACACCTTTTATTAGCAGCCTGAACAAAGTGTCATGCACAGGTCATTAGACCCCCAAAGCAGGATTCAAAAAGGCTTTTAGGAGAAAGCGGTGTTTGAATTCTTTGGGTTGAGGAGAAAAGAACATTTGAAATCAAGGGAACAGCATGACTGCAGCTCAAGGCCGGAAAGTGGAGTAGACCAGGTGCAGAATAATCCACTTTGCTAGTGCAGCACCTGACCACAGAAAGAAGTCAGCTTGAATCACAATGGTCAGAAGGGTACTTTGCCAAAAACTTATGGGAAATACTGTGCCTAGCTTTGAGAGGTTTATTTACTCACTCGTTCATCATTTTAATGACTGTTGTTTTTTGTTTGTTTGTTTGTTTGTTTTGTTTGGAGCACCTATATGCCTGATAATAGGGCCAGCAATGAAAAAGACTCATGGGCTCTCCTTTCATTCAGGAAGGATTAAAAAGGGAAACAGCCGCATAAACCAATCACTTTAACATGGTAACTGATATGGGCCAAACAAGACTAAAACACAGAGAAGGGGCACCTAACTTACACTGGCATTATCTTGAGCTTTGGTCTACTGCACGATCTTTTGATGCAGGTCCACTTTCGCAGAAAGATTCATCAGGCCCCGCACAAAGCACAAGCCACTGGACAGCTCTCCAACATGGGGTGAGAAGTATTGTTGAATGAAAATGCACAAAAAGGATACAATCATGTCCATAATTTTTTAGACAATATCATACCAATACCTACGGTGTTGCAGGAAGTATATGTAGTTTTAGAGGGTAAATAAAGGTAGTTATATGATTGAGACAGAATGTTGGGGGGAGGAGAATTGGTCATAAACTTACAAAGGAGATTGTGGTTGTTTCAGTAACCCTGGAGTCAGGTAGATTCAATACAACTATAGCCCCCTCCCTTAGCTTGTGACCAAGCCTCACTTTTGACATTTATAAGTTGTTAATAGTGATTGTGTAGGAGCTATAAATCTTTTCAACCTTAAAGGGAAAGCTATAACAACTTTGATGGCAGCAAGAAAGAGAGTGCACGTGTGCAAGAGCAGTATCACATATAACCCTGGGCAAAGAGCACATGATGGTTCTCTCCCTTTGTTTATTCATCTCTAACTTGGTGATCATAATACTATTCTAGTTCATAATAAGAATATTATGGAGATTGATTTAGGTAATCCAATTAATGTGTACTACCTATGTTCAAAATGTCCTAATATGCATTATCCCCTCTCCTTCTACCCAATAAACCCCTTACATTATGTAAGTTAAGCTCAAAGTTCAAATACAAATGCCTGGAAAAATTAAAAGGGAAACTTCAAAAGAGGTTAGGTACTGAAGAAATGAGCTCAACGTTATCTCAGAGAAAAAAATCAAACCTAGGCAGGTTTCTGTGAAATGTCACTCCTGGAATAGGCCACCTTTGTCCCCCCACCACCAATATGTCCCAAGAGCAGAGGCAATCACCCAGATGACCTCTCATTCACCTGATTTAAAACTATTCCATTTTCTGCACAAAAAGACTTTAGGCACATTGCCTTAATAGCTTCCAGTATAAAACAGAGCATCACTGAATCGCTACCTCTGAAGGTTGGGGACAGTCTTTTCCAGTCATTCTTCAGCTTTAGGGGGGTTGTTCAGTTCCAGGGACAGCTGACAGCCTTATTTAGCCAACCAGCTGCTCTGTGATACACAATGTCCCTAATACTCAAAGTCTGGTGGTTGATTCTTTTGTATCCATATAAGCAGCAGTTGGAGGAGAATCGATCAGTTCCTTTGATAGCCTCAGGGTGTCAACGCTGCCATTCAAATCATTACCAACATAATTATTAACCATTGTTTTAGTGAGATGTCTGTGAGACAATTGTTTTTCTTTCTTTTTCAATCATTAAAAAAACAATCAAATTTCACTAGAGAAATGTTTGCCTCGAGTCACATAGCACATTTATTAACACCCTTCTGTTTGCCCAGTTCATTGTAAAGCCTTGGAAGAGGGAATTCTTAAAGTGCTGTCTCTGGTGTTAAAGAATTAGTAGTGCTATGGGGAAGAGGTACACACACACACACACACACAGGAAAAAAGTTATATAGTATACTACACATTGCTATAGAGACAGGGACAGTGGCAATTTTGTTTCCTGAATTTTATTACAGTGACAATGGGGTGTTTGGGAGGATACACCCAGAGTAGAGTTGGAGAAACGGGATGTTGTGGTGGAAAATTGCTTTCTTTTCCAGCAGGTAAGAGAAAAACAACCCAGGGAGTGGACAGGATATGCACCCATTAGAGCAGCCACCAGTGCCTGACTCTTTGACAAGAGAGTTCATCATTCAGGATAAATGTTAGAGGTAGCTTTAAAAGGGCTTTTGCTTCAGGAAGAATGATGTGGCCTGGATGAGTCAGCGACACTTTCTAAGGCCTTGTCCATACTGTGGCTTGGAGCCACATTTTGAACCCATTTTTCAAGCATGTTAAACTCAAACACAGCTCAGAGTACTACACGTGGAGAGGTCACAAATCAGTCTCCATAATACCTCTGGTAGGACTGTCTACTATCTGTCTACTCACTATTGAAGCTTGTTTCGGACTATGCCCTGATGGTCCCTGTGGTCTCCGTGTTCACATTTTAAAATGTTCACTATCATAAATGGAACTTGTTCGACTAACCCTGTCCAGAGGATGAAAACACTAAAGACAAAGTCAGAAAGAGGGATGAGAACCGCATCTGAAACCAACCTGGCCAGGGAAGGGAGCAGGGCCCAGGAGGACCCTGTGAGTTGAAGCTCCCATCCTGCGCGGATCGGGCCACCGCCCTGGCCTCGGCGTGGCGCCCTCGGGCTCAGAAACCGCGCGGAAATGTGGAGACCCCCTAGGCTAGGTGAGCCCTGGGTCGCGGCGGTGGCGTTGAGTGGCAAAGAAAGGGGCGCGGGTGAGAGACCCGAAACGTCCAGGTCCAGAGCCCGGGAGGAAAGAGCCAGGGGCCGGTGCAGGGATGGGCTCCAGGTCAGGATGAGCAGTGCCTGACGAGGCCCCTGAAGCGCGCGGGTTGGAGTGAAAGCCAGGCAAGGAAACGCGGAGCAAAAACTGTGGGGCCCTGGACTGTGCTAGAGGCGGGAAGAGAGCAGCGGAGACGGAAGGTACTGTGAAGTCCCCGGTGAGCCTAGAAACAAACGCACAACCTTCTGTGGCGGACCAGGACACGGACCCGGGAAAAAACGGGGGCGGCGGAACGTGACCGGGAAGCTAGGCGCGCGCCACCACCCAGGAACGAGCGCGGGCCCTCAGCAGAGCGCGCTGGAACCCGACAGGAGCCAGAGAGTAGGGAGGGCGCCGCGTCTACAGCCGCGGTGGCGGGGTGGGGTCGAGTGCGCGTGCGCGGCTCGTGCGGGCGGGGAGCGGGCGTAGGGCGGCGGGAGCGAGCGTGCGCGCGGCCAGGAAGCTTGGGCGGCGGGTCCTGCCTGTGACTGCTGTGGAGGCTGCTGGTCCTGCCTGAAACGGCCGCGGAGGCGGCGGCTGTTCCAGACACCTGCGGCGGCGGCGACCCCCCGGCGGCGCGGAGATGTGGCCCTTGGTGGCAGCGCTGTTGCTGGGTTCGTTTTGCAGCGGTAAGTGGTTCCTGGCTCTCAGCCCTGAGCTTGTCTCTGCGCCCCTACGGCGTCCCCCGCAGGCGTGTGGGCTGCGCCCCCGCAGCGCAGGAGGCTCCGGGGAGAGGGTGGCCTGGGCGCGGGATGCTCGGGCCCTGTGCGCCCTGAGTGCGGACGTGGGAGGGCCCTGCGGGTAATCGGGCGCCCCCTTCCTTTCCTCCTTTCTTTCTCTTCCCCCGGGTGACAGCGGGCTCATCTCCTTCACCCCGTTTGCACCTCCAAATGCACATACCGAGGAAGACTGGAAAACGCACAACTCGTGCAATCGCGAACTATAAAGAAAGGGCGCGACCAGAGGCGAGGGGTGGCAGCTGCAAAGGACCCTCTTCTTTCGCACCCTCTCCCTTCCTACTTGCGTTTGGGGTTTAAGGAGGGAGAGTGGGAGGGCCCAGGCCTCTTGTGATGGAAGTGCGCATTTTGGTGAAGTCGACCAGAAGGGGTTTTGCCCTACTGCATGAACATCGGAGCGAATGGAGATGAAAAGGACGCAGTTAAGTTTCATTTCCGACCCAGCATTTATCAGAAGAATCTTGTGACCGCTTTTTTGTTGTTGTTTTTAATCCAAAAATAAGCTTCCTTGAAACTCTTTTCTCGTAGCCCCCACACTTTAATACATTCCGAATTGTGGGTTGAAGTTTTCCCACTTTACTGGGGGAACCGTTTAAAAAGTTAACCAGATTTCGTCTGAAATATGAATACAGTAATCTCGAGTCAAAACACATGTGCAGCAGAGTGGGATTTGGTGTCTTTTGACGTCAAAGGAGTGCCCCCCCCCCGCGCGCGCGCGCACACACACACACACACACACACAGTTTTTGCACTTAATTCTCTTTTTAGAAATATGTGCTTCCTCTGTGAAAACCGAGGAAGGAATAGGAATTTCGATGATCTACAATGCCTGTCATACTTCATATTTGTACCCTTTATTAACTTTCGTAAGATTCAGAATTGAGTGAGTAGGACTAACAGCAATTGTTACCTTTATCCTAAAATGTTAAATTAGTTCGATTTAAAACTGTTTATTAGTCTCAGTGTGTCATTCAAAAAAGCTTGTGTCTTGTAGTTATTTGAAAGACGCCCTTAATTCCCTCCCAAGCATCCTGGATGTTGCAGCTATTAATAATCAAGATCTCTATTATCTAAACGGTTGGTGTTAGGTGTTTTCTGTCATCATCTTTAGTATGCTTGTTGTCATTACTATCATTAGAGCTGAAATGATGCTGCTTTCAAATACCTGTTGTGTAATCAGAGAGCCTTCATATTGAACCAGATATAAATTCATAATAAAATATCACCAATTCATACCATTGTTATCAAAGCTTATTTGAGAGTAAAAAGTGTAAACCATGTATTATTTTTAAAGCAGGGGTCCTATTTTCATGTAAATGAAAAAGGACTGTTGCAAATGTACTTTGGGGAATAGGCCTTCCTTAGTTATAGTTAAGATCCCATGTAATTAACATTCGTTTTCATACAATTTTAATGCAATTAAATCCCTGAAGAATTCAGAATTTGTAGTATTTTATTGTACTTGTTAATATTAACCTGGAAAAGAAAAACAAGTACAGGCATTATGCATTTGAATTTAAGTGCTGGATATAAAACAGGAAGTGATAGTGTTTGTTATAAGATAGACTGGATTTTTGTGTGTTTCTTAAGTAGCTTCAAGAGAATGTGTACTGTGTTAACACTCTCAAAACACAAATAGTTATAATTCAAGGGATTTGGAAGACTGAATTTAGAATCTAGAGTAAAGAAGAAACATAGCTTTATACATTCATTTGTACTGAAGCTTGATTTTTGCTTTCAGTTTCATTTATAAAGCACTTGTAATCAGAGGCTACTTCTTGGTAACCTCTACCGTTTCAGTGACCTTTGTGGTAAAGGAAGTTTTCTCAGATACCTATTTCAGCCAATTAAAGGCAGAATGAAACTCACTGTAATGGTTTACAAGATAGAGACTGAATTAGTATGTTTTCCCCATATGTCCAATTATACTTTGTTTAAAAGTGCATCAACAGCTTCAGTGATATTCACTAACTAGTGAATACAACCTTAACTAAATAATGCCAGTGATGTATATGAACTGTCTTTTTAGTGGCTGAATAATTTTTCTTTGTTCAAAACACACTATATATATATATATATATATATATATATATATATATATATATATATATAATACATAAAGGGTACACATGATTACATTTTTTTAAATCCATTTTTTTTTGTCCAAGTCTAGTAGTCATTTGGCTTGTTTAAGTTAAAATACTTTCTTTTTTTCCTGATGAACATATCATTTTTAAACATGGTTGCTGTTTTAAGGAAGCAAACATCCTTATTTATGGGGCCATCCCAGCAGTCTAGAGGCTGTGTGTTAAAGCATTTCACTAGATGCCTAGCGTTAGAACACTTGTTCATGCTGTCACATGTGTTTTAGCAGATGTGTCGTCCTTGCCACTGAGGTGTTAATGGAGATTTGAAAGGCCAGGTTTGAAAGATGAAAAGTAGGTATCCTACCTGCTCCCCCATTGATAACTATTCTAAATCCAAAATAATGCCTTATTTTATCAAAACTAAGTTTGGATACCTTAATGTGCATTCAGCTATAGCTAGTACAGATATTGTTTTTAATATAGTAATATTCTTTTTGTGACATAATTTTCAGGCAACCATTTTATCTGTCTTTTTCTCTTAGATTTTGGCTGTCATAGCTTTTTATATGTGATAAAAATTTCTATATATTTTATGTTTTAGCCTAATATAATGCACAGTTGGGTTATCATAAAATTACTTTCGATTTATATACTAGCATAGATGTTTATTCTATGGTAAAAGAAAAAGAATAGCATAGGTTCAGTTTTGCTTAACTCATGGTAGTATGAGAGGAAAAAATACAGAGCACCCAGGAAATCTGATTCTAATATGCCTAGACTAAGACTACAGAACCTGGATTTTCCTTCTTTGTGATTATGTGGAGTCCAAACAGGAATTAGAAGCTTCTCCCTCCTCTGAATAGTTTACTCCTAATCCATGGAACTGTTGCATAAGATTCGGAATCTGGTCAACCCAAGGTTTCAGATGTAGAACAGGATAATTAATATGCATTTTAAAATACATGTCACACAGGTTAAAAGGCAAAGCAAGGGGTTTGGCAAGTGCATGGTCTGGCAAAAGTGCTTCATTTTAAGCAAGTATAAACACACATTATACTCTAAGCACTTTGCAAAGCCCTCTTGGGCATATGCATGAATTTCAGACTGTACTCTTCTTAATAACTTACAATGTAATTTATAGAGAGCATATATATATATTTTTTAATCCCTCATTGGTAACTTAATGTACTTGAAGTTCTTCATAAGGACATAATTCTGGATGCTACTGACTATAAATTGCTCTGGTTCCTGTAATTCTGGGTTGACCACTCTACTCTTTAAAGGGCACTTTTAAATTCAGTGTGGGGGAGGGGGATTGCTTTGAGTCAGAACTAAAAAACTGTGGACACCTCACTATACCCCAGACTTATTTTAAATTTTCACTGAGGAGAGATCTGACTAGATCTCTCCTGTACTTATCCTGATTCAGTCTGAGATTCCAGTTCTTCATGCCAGGGGCGAGTTCTGAGGGCAAAATTTATAGGATTCATTTATGGCAGATATCTTTACTCAAGGGCTTTGCTTCATTTAACTTAGCAGCAGCTGGGACTTCTCACCCATTCCTGAACATTCATTCCCAGCAGATAATTAACTTCCTACTCAACTGCAGAAAATAGTGGTGAGTGGTTCGGACTCCCGCATCTACCCACCCACCATTTACTAAACTGATCCATAATATCTTAGACAACCTTCATCTCATTCTCCTCCTTTACCTAGTTTCAGAAGAATACCTATTCACCTTTCTAAGAGAAGGACAGCCTGTCTACCACTCTTTGATTTCCACCATGTTGGAAACCTGCTCAATGAGCTTAATTCTTCTGTCTCGTATCCCAGATCTTGTCCTCTCCAGTGACAGCTTACCCTTAGCTTGCAACCATGATCAAGTTTTATCCCATATTTAAAAAAGAAAACAGAAAATCCAAGAAGACACAAAAAAATTCTTGCCCTCTTTCCACACTGTCAATTGTTGCCTTATTCTCTGTGCCTTATCATTGTACCAAATTATTGAAAGAGAATCACTGTCGCTTTTTCTGCTCACATTCTCTTCCCAAATCAATCTGCATCTGAATCCACCAGTCCATTGACATTGCTGTCAGTCAAGGAGCTAATAGAGACCCTTCTTTGGTATTTGCAAAGGCATTCTTTTTACTTCTATTTTCTCTCATTTTTCTCACTTCCTTGTTTTGTTTCCCTTTCACAATTTGCTACATAAATATTGGTGTGGCCCAAGATTTTATTCTCTGTCACCTTCTCTTTTGCATCAGAAGGACTCTCTGGTCAGTCTTCTTTATGCTCATGACTTCGATTACCAGCTATGTCCTTGGTTATTCCCAAGTCTTTATGGCTCTGACCTTTCTTCTTAAATTCAAATTCATATGCCTAGGGACATACCAGGCATCTCTACTTCATTCTACCACAGGCATTTTAATGCCCAGACTTTCAAATATTGAAAGAATATTCTCCCGATCTTCAAACTTTTTTTCTCTATAGCTAATCCATAAGCGAATAGTAGTTTCACATACTGTTTTAGTTAACCATTTTTAATTTTTCCCTTTTCATCTTCTTTACCTCCCACAGCTGACTTCTGTTTGCTTTTTGATTTTTCTTGTCATTTTAAGCCTTCTCTCCAGTTTCACTTACCTGGACTGTTGCAGAAGGCTCCTAATGGATCTTCCTCTTTCCTCTCCTTTCCTGCCCTTACACATCTTTCATACTGCTGGCTGCACTGTTGTTGTTGTTGTTTTAATGAAAATAAATCTGTGTGGTTCCCTATTGCTAATATTATTAAGTCCAAACTTCTCAGCA